AAAAAAAAAAAAAAAAAAAAAAAATAAAAAAAAAAAAAGAAAAGAAAAGAAAAAAAAATTTCTGACACCGATATCATATTGATTCTAGAAAATTATACGAATCGCTTTTATCGATCGCGTTCCCTTTTGTCTTGGAGCCTTCTTTGAACGACGCGATTCTTCATCTGACGAGGATTGATCTCGATCTAGAGGATCCCGAGTCCGATTCATTACCGTCCCCGAACCGTGTGCAATGCTAGAAATTAGAGAAACTCGTAGTAGACTATCCGTGACGAGTGTCGAAGTCTGTGAAATCGCGTAAACGACGCTGTTTCCCGGACACTTCGAGAGAGAAAAGGGACACGCACATTTTTCGATCGCTAGGACAAGAGTCGTTCGTTGCAAATGGAATTATCGATCGATCCTGACTGTTTGATCGTTCGACGCGAAGAAAAGGAAAAGAAAAGGATCGAATACACACCTGTTGCGCCTATAGTTACGCAAGAGAAAGAAAAGAAAGTAATAGGATAAAAGAAGAGGGAGGATAAGATATCGCGTTTGAGGTTATCAATGATAAATATTGTTAGAAGGAGGAGATACGAATAAACTAAATAGTAAAAGGCTGAATGAGAAGATCTTTAAACTTGTACAAATGTTCAAGGTGTGTATATATTTATTATAAAAAAAGGGGGGGAGGGGAAAGATGAGTTATGAAGAAGAAAATGGCGAACAATGTGGAAGAAAACGTCGAATCGTCTGGCAGTCCTTGTTTCGATGGAGGATAATACGAGAACGAAAGGATGAATAACAACAAGTGTGTGTGTGTGTGTATGTGTGCGTGTGTGGGTGTGTGAGTGTATGTATGCGAGCAAAGTGGAACAAGATGGGGGTGAATGATCATACGATTGAACGAGTCAGAGGAAGGTGGAACGTTTCATTAAACATTTTATTGTTCGTTGTAATAAACTTCTAGAGAAATGATATGCATTATTAAAGAGAGAAGAATTCTAAACGGTTATATTTCTTTGTGCATATATACATATATAAATTGATATATGTGTATATATACATAGCTCGAAGGGAAGGAAATCGATGAACATATTTAATATTGCTATGATGTGGCGTTTAACTCGTATCGATATGCCCGCGAGGATGTGAATGGAAGATAGGATGATTGTGAATTGTAAAGTTTCGCGAGAAAGATAGAGAGGAAGCGGAAGTTGTGGACAGGAAATAAAGATAAATAGGTGGACAAAAAAAAAAAAAAAAAAGGAAAAATAAAAATGAATTATAGACACTCGTCGATTCTGATCGATCTATATCGTACTCAGCACAGTACGAGGCACATTTGTATTATAACATTATACATATTATATATATATATATAAATACATATATATATAAATATATATATTGTATCACCTATGTTTTTGTATTTGGTAATCTAAACGAAAGACGAAAAGGAAAGAAGAAAAAAAAAAAAATCTACAAAAAAGAATATCGAATTAACGAACAAAAGGTTAAATAGAAAGTATATTATATATTTGAGTAAAATCGTTGAGAATTGGTATTATCCATGGCTGGACTGAGTCATAATTTTCGTCCCTTGTACGTATTTGTTTAATTTTTTCCTCTCTTCGTTCTTTTTCTCTGATCTTTTGTGCCCGTTTATTTGCATTCGATATATGCACACACACACACACACACACACACACATACGCACACACATATACACACACATTCACGCTCAGGTAACGTGGGGTTTAGGGGGGAATTAATTATTAATAGTCCACTTTGAACAGGCGAATAAAGTGAACGGTCTTGGATAAAACCAACACTCTTTTACTCATAACTTATTATGTACATCGTCTGAAGAAAACCGATACGTTCGTAAAAGAAAAATAAACATAAGTATATATCAATCGGTTTCGTTCATTTCCACTTGCCCTTTCATCATTTTGACGAGCGCACTCGTTCAATATGGCGTC